TCTCACCTTTTCAACATAAATGCATGCATGTGAAACTAGACACAATCCATGGTAACAAAAAAAGTACTTTTAGTCTTCGCCTCATCCAAGGAGCACATACCTAGAGAGGGGACATTCAACACACACACACACACACTACGTCAGTCTGTCTGCAGCCTAACCACAATCCTCTTGCCTGCTGTGGCGACCGCAAGCAGTCAACAATGCCACACTCAGCATCATACTGCATAACAGAACAATCAATACACGCACACACAAACCACCACCACACTGTTCATCACATCAATCAATAATTATGTACACCACCACATAGCTCAACAGCAGTTATGCATACTTCTTAAATGTCTATAAATACATAAATACATATCTATATAAATATTCACAAGTGCATACTGCCTGCACACACAATCTCTTCGACACACAAGGACAAACACAAAGGATATTGCCAAGCGCATGCCCATAACAAGCTACCAGTAAGCTGGCTGAGAGTCTTACATGTCTTACATATATATATTTTAACTGATCTAACTCTAAAAAATATTTTTAAAAGTATTTTGTAATAAAAAATAATAATAATGAATAATAAAATGAATAATAAAAATGAATTTCTATGTTATCACATGAAGAACTTATACTTGGTAAACTGACAAAACCTTTTTTTTAAATGAATCTTTGTACTAAAGTCCACCCTCCCCCCATCCCAAAATCTAAAATCATCCAGCTGGTGTAACTCATTAGAAGTGCTGCAGAGAATAAAACTACAAATCTGTCAGCCAGTGAACAGGTTGGATTAATGTATCTACCAAAAACTGGTCCACACTCCAACCAAGCTGTTTGTTTTTCTGTCATGGTGGGGACTTTCCATGGACTTCTAATTTTTTAATGATATTTTCTATTTCCTAATTTTCCATCACATCAACATTTTAGCACTTTAGAATTTTCTTTAAGACATTATTTAGTTGCTTACTATATTATTGCATCTCTATTATAGATTTGTTCATGTATTATTCACAGATTCACAATGCTAAGGTAATGATATTTTCCGTCCCCTAAACCTGACAACCACATGGGCCTAAACACTTTTTACATTTTAGAATTTTCTTTAAGATTTTCTTTAGTATATTTAAAAAGTATTTGTTTACTATTAAATCTCTGTTATTAGATTTGTTGATTTATTCACAGAATATATTTGAATAAACCTGTAAGCATAACCTGCATTATTAGCATCATTACATTTCACACCCATCCTGTCAGGGCCGTTTCTAGCCGATTTGACGCCCTAGGCGAAATCCCTATTGCCCTCCCCCCCCCCTCCCCCCCCCATATATATATAATGTTCCACAAATCTGAATGCATTATTTGTAAATTGACTGTTAAGATAAACATTTTGCACAATTTAGTATCTGTAATATCATTGTGTTGCCACTAGATGCCTGTATAGCCCTATGTAACAATCCCTAGTGGCTAAGACATTGCACATAATTTACACATAAATTAATTTTATTACATGTTGATTTGTATACTATATACTATACTACTACATATTGTTTAGATATTATCAAGGGCTACTTTTTTGTCTTTATCTGTTTTTTGTTCAATTTTTTGTTGTTGAGTTTTTGAAACATTGATTTAAAGTGTCAGTTATTGCATTATTATTTCAGTCAAACCTATAAAACCCCTTTGTTACCCCAAACTACATATAAAAGCTTTATAAGTGGCATAAAAGTAACCAATGCAGCTACTTAATCATTTGCTACTCGTTAACGCATTAACGTCCCCTTTAAATAACGTGACGCTCTGCCCTCTATGACGCTGCTCCCATTAAGCGCTGTTGGAAGTGAATGAATTGATTCAGCATTTCGACACCTCCGTAAGAATGCATTTAACTCGACAAAGCGGTCTAATAAAGGACGTATTGATCTCGTGACTTAGCGAATTTTACTATACAAATATTTTTTAATTGGATGTTAAAGTATATATGAGAATATTACATGACACGCTGATCCTTTAACAATGCATTGGCGCAAAAAAACGCACACCTTTTGGACAAATCTGCCACAAATATTTGGACAAATGTGCCACAAAAGTGCCACAAATACTGCCTAAACAAAATACTGATTTTGTGCACTTTATTTACTGTACCAATATTTTAAATTGGCCTTTGAACTTAGCTTTATTGCATGGCAAAAAAAAAGTGTTACCTTGCCAAAGCACTGACAGAGCCCACTGATCTAATGGCGTTGTTGAGCGCTCCAAATGCAAACTTTGCATGCAACAATCAGGCAGCAATTGACAGCACTCTGATCTAGTGGCATACAGGCATCGTCAGATTGACAGTACTCTAGCCCAATAATGTTGGGGGATCCAGTGGGGGCGGCAGTCATATTTCAGGGTGACCGTGCCACTCTTTATCACAACCCTGCTAAAAATGCCAGTACGTGCGCTCATTGGCGCCCCTTCAGCTGGTGGCGCCCTAGGCGACCGCCTAGCTCGCCTATGCCTAGAAACGGCCCTGATTACAAGCATTACAATAATGATATTTTATACCTAAAATAATACTCAACCATTTCCTGCATCCTTCTGTACTTCCCTGAATAAGTATTTAAAGGTGTTGTAGGCTAATAAGTCGTTCTGAGTAATAAATTGAAAAAGCTCCCACCTGTATATGACTAAACAAAATAACATGTGGTTTACTTGAGGTTCTGCTATAAATGTGTCTATTAAAAACATTAATCTAAATTAATTACTCATATCTAAAGTAAACATAAATAACACATAACACTGTTTTGAGAACCACTTGGAAATCCTTGTTCATTTCCATACATGTTTTCATATGAAGAGAGATAAAGACTGAAATGTTTTCATGTTTTCACCCATATCTCACTATGAAGAGAGACTGAAATTCTCTATGAAATAGACTGAAATAGTGTTTTTGAAAACAATTTGATTTTGGGATATCAAAAAAGTGTTTTTTAATATTCCTTCCTTTGTCCTGTGTATAGAGTAGTGGAAAACAGGCAGGGCTGTTTCTAGCCAATTTGACGCCCTAGGCGAAATCCCTATTGCCCCCTTTTGCTTGTCACATTCAAATTGGTTGTCATAGTAACGACACTAATTTGTGGAGATTCAGTGCATTGAGTTCCACAAATCTGAATGCATTATTTGTAAATTGACTGTTAAGATAAACATTTTGCACAATTTAGTATCTGTAATATCATTGTGTTGCCACTAGATGCCTGTATAGCCCTATGTAACAATCCCTAGCATTGCACACATTGCACATAATTTACACATAAATCACACATAAATTAATTTTATTACATTTTGATTTGGACTATACTACTTATACTACTACATATTGTTTAGATATTATCAATGGCTACTTTTTTGTCTTTATCTGTTTTTTGTTCAATTTTTTTGTTGTTGTTTCTTGAAACATTGATTTAAAGTGTCAGTTATTGCATTATTATTTCAGTCAAACCTATAAAACCCCTTTGTTACCCCAAACTACATATAAAAGCTTTATCAGTGGCATAAAAGTAACCAATGCAGCTACTTAATCATTTGCTACTCGTTAACGTCCCCTTTAAATAACGTGACGCTCTGCCCTCTATGACGCTGCTCCCATTAAGTGCTGTTGGAAGTGAATGAATTGATTCAGCATTTCGACACCACCGTAAGGATGCATTTAACTCGACAAAGCGGTCTAATAAAGGGTGTATTGATCTCGTGAATTAGCGAATTTATTTTTTAATTGGATGTTAAAGTTTATATGGGAATATTACATGACACGCTGATCCTTTAACAATGCATTGGCGCAAAAAACGCACACCTTTTGGACAAATCTGCCACAAATATTTGGACAAATGTGCCACAAAAGTGCCACAAATACTGCCTAAACAAAATACTGATTTTGTGCACTTTATTTACTGTACCAATATTTTAAATTGGCCTTTGAACTTAGCTTTATTGCATGGCAAAAAAAAAGTGTTACCTTGCCAAAGCACTGACAGAGCCCACTGATCTGATGGCGTTGTTGAGCGCTCCAAATGCAAACTTTGCATGCAACAATCAGGCAGCAATTGACAGCACTCTGATCTAGTGGCATACAGGCATCGTCAGATTGACAGTACTCTAGCCCAATAATGTTGGGGGATCCAGTGGGGGCGGCAGTCATATTTCAGGGTGACCGTGCCACTCTTTATCACAACCCTGCTAAAAGTGCCAGTACGTGCGCTCATTGGCGCCCCTTCAGCTGGTGGCGCCCTAGGCGACCGCCTAGCTCGCCTATGCCTAGAAACGGCCCTGCATCCTGTTGCACCTGCACGCAAACATGCTTTTAGGACCTCCTCTTTGCAAAGAGGCTGTTTTTCACACGGTATATTGATCCCAAAGTGAGATACTTGCTCAAGCAGACACTTGATTGGTTTCTCTTTGTTGAGCCAGGTCAAGTGTGATAAACCCGCTCTATCTGAGGCAGCGGAAACCTGAAATACATATTCCACACTAATACACTCTTTTAGATTAGGAGGGTTATGTCTCCCTCTTTTGGCTGAAGTGTGTTAAAGCAATCATTAGCCAGAAAAGAAGAACAGTGATAACGGAAAATAGAGTTTTTGTTTACATTGTCATACAGCGGTGAATCGTTTAGGTGCCGCTTCACACTTCACACACAATATTAAGCCAATTGTTTATAATTTTGTTCCATGTCACCCTAAAATATAAGTGAAATATCCACAGAAATCCCTTTTCCATAATGGTGCAGTGTTCAAATAAAATTCTAAACATCTATTATTTGGCCTAACTTAATCTTATCAGTTCGTTTGGCGCTTGTCTGGCAAATTTCCATGTCGTGTCTGTAGAAAATGACATCAACATTATTCTTCCTCTTTCAAAGAGCAAATGAAGACGTCAAGAGATCAAAGTTGACCACCACGCAGTTTCTTCCTTATTTCAAACTCTTCATTTGACTGTTGCCTCTCCGTGTAGCTTGTCTTTCTTTAACCGTGACGGCAACTTTAATGTAGTCTGTCTTAGCTGTGGTTGTGGGTTTTAAAGAGACACTTCTGAACAATAACTTTACGTAGTAAAGAAGATGGCTTTACTGTTCTGCGATGCCTTTTGGGTAAGTTCTTGTTTGTAAGCCTCTCTTAAGTAAAAGGCTTCGGGAAATGCAATTTCCTTTACTTCTATTTTTAGAATGATGGGTTGTATTTTGTGTTTTCTTAAAGGGGTCCTATTATGCTTTTTCACTTTTTAAATTTTAGTCAGTGTGTTGTGTGTATGTTTGGGCATAAAAAAGATCTAGAAAGTTGCAAAGCTCAATGTCCACTCCAAAGGGAGATATTTCCTTTTTTAAAAATCCCTTTTCAAGAACTACAACGAACGGCTCGTTTGGACTACAGCGTTTGTTTTCCGGGCTTTGTGATATCACAAAGCGGCTCATTTGACGAAGAAGAAGTGCTGCTGCAGAGTTAGTGCATCAGAGAAAACGAAGAAGAAGAGCTGCTGTGCTGTAGCATAACATTTTCGGCATGTCTAGAACAATTCTTACAAGTATAACACGACGTAGCTGGGCGCCGCGGACAGACGCCGAACGGCGCCGCCGGTGTGCCTACACTCATAGAAAATAAAGTATTTGAATTTTAAAGACGTGGCGCGATGCGAAGCTGCGCTTCTCGTCCCGTACGCGACTGACTGAAACGCTGTTTTTTTCACCTCCGTGCCCAAACGTCTTTGTTTGGGCTTCCGAAAGCGGATGATGTCAGGAAACAGTGGTTGCAATTTCGAACGGCTCGTTTGGACTACAGCGTTTGTTTTCCGGGCTTTGTGATATCACAAAGCGTCCCATTAGAATATCATTAAAAATAATTCCCACCTACAGAAATTCGAATGGGTGGGGAGAGGTTGTGGTTAGAAGGCTTGGTTGAGTGAGTGCATCAGAGGTTCGCCAATCACAGCTGGGACAACTAACCAATCACATCACATTTTGTTTTTCGGAAGGCGGACCTTCATCATAACCGGAACTAATCGAGCCGTTTGTGCCAGGCTGGGGAGAAAGGTATTTTAATAATGTAAATTATGTGAAAAATAATGCGTTTTTCGAACCACCAAGCATGAGAGCATGTTCTAGTACACCCCCAAAACATAATCAATACTTTGTAAAAGAGCATAATAGTACCCCTTTAAGTTAATTAGGAAAACTTAAGTCTCTGCTCTATAATAAAACTTGAACTGTCATGCCACTTTATTTTGATGGTCCCCCAACACATTCTTCTGACTAATTTTGCAAGTACATGTCAACTTCTACTTATCTACTACCCCTAACTCTAACATAACTGTCTACTAGTAGTCTAATGAGATTTAGTTAGTAGACATGCAGTTGCAAAGTTGCATATAGTTAGTGGAATGTCTAAGTGTAGCTTGTTTTTAAAGGGTGGGTTTCCTTTTAATAATATTACATTTCAGTTCAATTTAAAACTACAATCTTCAAAATCTTATTTTCATATTTAATTACACATTTTTAATGGTTCCCCAAAGAACAGTGTCCTTAGTGCTCATAAAATATAGACTACATATCGGAATGACTACTATGTGTGTTTCATGTATGTCATGTGTGTTGCGTGTTTGTTATCTTTTCAGGGTACTGACTTTTCTGACCAGTCGGGTTATGAAGCGATATTGCAGAGGTTACAGGATGGCAGACACGTGTGCAAAGATGTAGAAGAACTGTTGAAAATGAGGTATGGAGTAGTTATTTATAGCGGTGTATCTCTGTGAATGTCAGTGTGTGACTTCTGCTCTCCTTCACAGAGCACTAGCGGAGGAGAAGTACGGCCGAGATCTGGTGGCAATTGCCCGGAAGGCAGAAGGTCAAACCGAGATTGGGTAAGTTGCAAACAAATTCCATTTGAAACACACACACTTTTGCTACTTAATAACTCAAATCCCACACAACAACTCCTAAGTAAATGCCTCATGTTTATGTAAAACCTTCTTAGCTACAATATACAGTAAATGTGTCCAAAAGTGTGTGTAAAATAAGTGTTTATGTATTCATTACATCATTTGTTTTCCATACTCAGAACATTAAAGGCATCGTTTGACAAATTCAAAGCAGGTATGTGAGGTGATGCAATTCCCTTTTGCCTCCTTCCTAGAAAAAGGCTTTGAATGCTATGTTCTCAACTTGATTTGCATTGTTTTCTAGAAATTGAGAACACAGGAAACCTGCACATCCAACTATCTGAAAGGATAAAGGAGGGAGTTCAGAAAATACAGGCATTTCGAGAGCACCAGAGGGAACAGAGGAAAAAGGTAGAAAATAAATCGAATGATCCATTATGCACACAGCCCAGCACTTTGGTAATGTTTCCATGGTCACAGTTGTGGTTATTCATATGGTCAGTGTGCAAGAGGAAGAAACCTGGCATTTTGGTTTGCAAGCACACAAGCATTAATACAGACATCATTTGTTGTATTTTGTAAAGACTGAATGCCAGTGAATAATCATTAATTAATTTATTAATGCAAGTGTTAAAAGATGGAAGCTAATATCTATTTTCCTAATTAGCTTGAAGAGATTATTGAAAAACTTCAGAAGCCTAAAATGCTGTTGCACAAGAAGACCATGGAGGTAAGTAGAGTAAATCGGATTAAAACAAGTATCTATTTACCAGTGCTAAGTCCTCATGTTTCCCCTTTCATTAGTTGTTCATGGTGTAAATGACACATCATTCTCAGGGTCCACCCAAATTCGGTATCAGCCAAATGAGGAAGAGAGAAGTAGAAACTGAAAGAAGTTATAGAAGCCACTAGGCTTGTAGTGATTGTATTTGTAGAATGAGTTAGGGCATGATTAGACAGCACACATAAGATAAATGCAGACTTTTGTTCATTAGCTTTGGGTTTGAAGACTCAAACATTTATTTTTACCACCAAGAAATGTGTAGAGAGAGATAGGAAAGTAAAAAGGAATAGAAACAGATGGTGACAGTGAATGAGAGAAAATACGATTAGGCTGGTTGGTTGGTTGGTTTGTATGCATGTTGTCTCTGGATATAATAAGACTTTAACTTCCTGTGTTGTACAACCACAGAAACACCACAGATCGTGCAATATGTTTTTAGACACATTTGTATAACAAGCTCTTCATTTTTATCTTGCACTTTTACTCACTTTGAAACTATTTTATTTTTCTGTATGTCCTACAGTCTAAAAGGTTATATGAGCAGAGGTGTAAAGAGGCAGAAGAGGCTGAGCAAGCAGTGGGGAAGAAGACAAATGTGGCCACCTCCACCCACCGGCAATCAGAAAAGGTGTGAGGGCCTGAATTGAAAAAAATATTTAATATGTACTATAACGTTTTATACACTAAATACCTTAGTAAGATAAATGTTTCTATATTTTCCTAAAGAGAAGTGTTCATTTTAATTCTGGAGTTTTAGACAGTTGTGAAAATTACCTATGGCAGGTTTGTGGTCACAGTACGGCCAAAATGAGGATTAAAGCAATGCAAACTTGTTTCAGTCTGAATGGGCATCATTCCACCCCAGTGTTATAGGAAACTGTACTACCATCAGTCAGTGTAACTTTCATGTCTTTAGAATAGAGACTTTGTGACAATTTTGTCATGTATGTTACAATCAAGATTATTTGTACAATATATGTTACACTGCTCTTCAAAGAAGTCAGGTTCAAACACTGAGTATGGCTATTTATCAGTCTATGTTGTATTGTGTTGTAGGTGATGAACAGGGCGCGGTTATGCAGGCAGGCAGCCAACCTGGCAGGTTTGTGCTAAAAGACTTACCTGTTGTTAGGACCCTGGTTGGCAGTAAGAGGATAGATGCAATGTAATGTCTCTTGGATGAAGTCAAAATAATCAAACATTCAATCAAGCATTGTGCATGCATTGTGTATACTATATATATATATATATATGTGTATGTATGTATGTATGTATGTATGTATGTATATATGAGTGTGTGTATGTATGTATGTATGCAGGAGTCAGTAAGATGAAATGTTTTTGCTTATGCTCGACAAGGCTACATTTATTTAATCAAAAAGTAAAAAATCTATTGTGAATAACTAAAATATTGTGAAATATTATTACACATTAAATATCTATTTTCTATTCTAAAATATTTCAAAATGTAATTTATTTTTGTGATTACGAAACTGACGTTTCAGAAGCTATTCTATTCTTCAGTGTCACATGATCTTTCAGAAATCATTCTAATATGCTGATTTGCTGCTCAAGAAACATTTCTTATTATTATCAGTTAAATCCATTGGGCTGATTAATATATTTGTGGAAAACATGATACATCTTTCAGAATTTTTTGATAAACATAAAGCTTAAAAACAGGGTATATTACATTTTAATGTGTCATTGTATTAATCTTACTAACTCCAAACTTTTGAATGGTGGTGTAGATATGAGAGCTTGAAATATGTCTAAAAATTTCCAAGTTTTTTTTTTTTTTACCAAGCTATTGTCTTACATGTTAACATTAATTGAGCGTTGACTTTCCGTTTTATTTTCTTGCTGGTTCAGAAAAGCAATACAAATGGAATGTTGATCAACTAAAAGAAATGTGCCAGGACTGGGAGAGCACATACAGGAGTGCATGTGAGGTAAAGAATGTGTACAAAAACATACATAGACCACTAAAAAGTAGTGTTAACAGAGGAAGGAGTGTCTACAGAAATAAGCAGAGCTTCATGTTTTCTTTTGGGTGATGATGACTAAATGAGAGAAGACACAATCTCACAGGCATGTGATAAACAGTCATAGCATTCTGTCATACAGCTGGAGAATATTTATTGATGTGGTATACAGGTTGAGAAAATGCCATTACCAAAAATAGTAAAAAGGGAAATAATTCTGGCCACATTTTAAAAGGAAGTGACATTAAAAATAGTTAATGTTTTGTATTTGTGTGTTGCCTTGTAGGTGTTCCAGCAGCAGGAGTCTGAGCGCATTAATATCTTACGCTGTGTGTTATGGGATCATTGCAATCTGCTGTCCATGCAGTGTGTCCAGGATGATGACGTAAATGTCCACATTTCTCAATCTTTATATACCAAAGCCTAGCCAAATGCTGTTTCTGATTTACAGTTATTTTAACAGCTGTTTTCCTTTGTTTTGTAGTGCTATGAGGAAGTAAGAAAGATTTTAGAGCAGTGTGACATCATCTCTGACAACAACTGCTTCATTAAAATGAAAAAGACGGCCTGTCGTCCTCCTGGTATATTCACCATCATCATGATTTACTTCAGAAATCTAACAGTTCAAGAGCTGTCATAAGATGATGTGACGCTGTTAAGAAATTCTACATAAATTGACAGTCACTCCTCCATGTCTCCTCAGCTCCCATTGAGTTTCAGAGTTACTCTGACTTGGACGCTAATGGAGGAGTCAGGAGGGTTGAACCGAAGAGGTGAATGTCTGAACTACATAAACTTAATTAAGAATGACTGTGATTTTATGGTTTTTGTAACTTGATTGTGAAACTCTAACTTTTGTATCTGCAGATTATCTGTCATGCTTCCAGGGATGTCTTTCAGTGGTCAGTATTACTTCTGTGAAATCTTAAAGAGATATTTCACCCAAAAATGAAAATTCTGTCATTAATTACTCACCCTCATATTGTTCCAAACCTGTAAGACCTCTGTTCATCTTCGAAACACAAATGAAGATATTTTTGGTGAAATCTGAGAGCTTTCTGACCCTGCATAGACAGCAACATAGCTGACACATTCAATGCCCAGAAAGGTAGTAAGGACACGAGTGGGCGTGCTGACATAGAACGTCCATCTCTCTTAGTTCATCGTCTGTATATGCTGGTTCAAATAAGTAAGGCTTGGCAAAAAAATGCTCTCTCTTTTGAAATCTTCAGACATGTTTATGAAGACTGTTTTATGTACAGCGTGCGTCGTCTTCTGCTTGTAAACAAGGCGCAGCACATCCAGGTTCTGTGTCTGAACGCCGGCTCCTGCGTCTGCAGCAACACACGCATGCGTCATGGTACTCTGACACAGACTGACACGGAAGAGAAGAAATTGTTGAATAAAGTTATTTTTGTTTTCTTCACACACAGAAAGTAACTTCATAAAATTATGGTTGAACAACTGATGTCACATGGACTATTTTAATGATGTCCTTACTACCTTTCTGGGCCTTGAACGTGTCAGTTGCACCGCTGTCTATGGAGGTTCAGAAAGCTCTGGGATTTCATTTCATTTAAAATATCTTAATTCGTGTTCCGAAGATGAACGAAGGTCTTATGGGTTTGAAACGACATGAGGGTGAGTAATTAATGACAGAATTTTCATTTTTGGGTGAACTGTCCCTTTAAACTTATAGTCTGTATGCAAAGAGCATTAAACTAATATACTCATAATACATTAACCCTAACAATAAGCAGTATTAGGAATTATCTACACTGAACATTGCTGCCCTTACTGTACATCACAGGGTATCCTGAAGCAGGCAGTAATTCAGCTGGATCATACACATCTGCTCAACAAACAGGAGGAGGACCTGAGAAGTACATGGTGTTATATGATTTTAAAGCTCAGGCAAGTAAATACAGTAACTTTTATACTTAGTTTTTATCCCAGGGGTTAGTAGACGCTGTGGTTAAGCTCAATTCAGAGTTGAGTTTAGCATGCTTTTTAAAGCTTCTGTTTAGTTTCAGAAATTGAATTGAGGTAGCAATCGGGAACTAGAATCGAAAGTAATTCAAAGAATTAAAAGTTGACATATAAACCTCATAAGTGTAATTTTTATCATAAAAATGTTTGCCTGACAGCCTTGTTAAAAAGTTTAAAATGTCTATATATGTTTATTTAAATAAAAAAAAAACCTTATAGTCTTTAGAGACTGATTGTACGATTTGTGTACTCAACTCCCCGTCTCCCTCATTTCTAGGAAGATGATGAGCTGTCTATCAGTAAAGGACAAGTTGTCACAATCACTGAGAAAGGCGAGGATGGGTGGTGGAGAGCGTGGAGGGATGGAATATCCGGGCTAGTCCCTGGAACGTACCTGACCAAAATCTCAGCGCAGAGTCACAGTACAAGTCTTGCTGCTGCTCATCCTGATCATAATCCCATCAAATAGAGTTTAGTAGTCATTACACTAAACCTGTGGATTAGTTCAGCATGCAGATTGATGTAGAATGATTACATCAGTGTAGCAAACTATCAGTACATCATACTATGAAGACATTAGCTTTCTTGACAGGCATCTTTAGGATTTTTAATGATCTTTAAGTGAATATAAGTTATTCTAAAGTTGTTTGTGTAATGGTACTGATCTCGATACAGTTTAATACAGTTTTTCCATGGTGTATAGTTAAAAATTATACAACAAAATGTTATATGATTTGTATTAGTAAAGTTTTATTTTGTACATCTACTTTTAATGTCTGTACTGTAATATATATAAATATAACACTGTAATGTATACATTTAGTATTATCAATTTTGTAATATATTGCTATAATTTATCATAGCTTATTTGTCTACTAAATATTGTAATCGGCATGTTCACTCAGTTCACTCAAAAAAGGACTCGGGAAAAAAAAGACTCATAACCCATATGCCTCAGCAATACATTCAGAAATGTAAATGCATTAAATTCATGATTAAATTGAAATGCACACCAATAAATGCACAGAAATATGCAAACATCTGTTCTCTCTCAGGAAAAAAAAAAGGTACAAAGCTGTCACTGGGGCGGAACCCTAAGGTACAGAAGCTAAAAGGCATCCTTCCTTCTAGCCTGACATAAATGTATATAATAAATGTAAATCATGATATATATAAACACAAGTTGATGTAATTAATACAAAAATGAAACAATTAAATTAGTTAAATAAATAATAATAAAAAAAGCCCGATATGATCTGGGTATGCAAAGTGATTCTCTGCCTGCAGGCTATTTCAAACACACACCAAATAAATGCACAGAGATATGCAAACGTCTCTTCTCAGAAAAAAAGGTACAAAGCTGGGGGCAATGCCTAAAGGTAGAAAAGCTAAAAGGCACACCTTTGTACCTTATTACCCCTAAATTGTACATATTAGTACCTTATAAAATGGTACCAAACCAGTGACAGTTTGGTACCTTTTTTTGTGAGAGTGTTAAGTCACTTTGTTGGTAGTTTTTGTTACCTAACTGCTGGGGGTAAATTCCATCCACCCATCACATTCTGGCATGAAGGGGAGATTAAGGCAGAAGATTTTGTTTAAACAAAAAAATGATGCTAATCCAAACTGGAGCAACCACTGAAGCAAACATAACAGCTTTGATTACAAAGTCAATACAGGACAAGGAAAGAAAACTGAGGGCTTAAACACACAGAGCTAACAAAGGAAACTAGATGGGACACAGGTGAAAAGAATCCATAACAAGGGAAACCAAATCAGTAACTATGAAAATTATGAGTGGTTACATAGAACATTAAAGGGAGAGAACAGGAAAACAATGTGATACACACTAAAAGTCCATGAAAACAGAACATAACTCTTTCTTTCTTTCTCACCAACATCTTATTCAACTATTAATACAGAGATACAAAGCTTAAATATAACGTTAGGTCTTTATTTTATTGTATTGTATTTATTTTTATTTATTTTATTTTATTTTATAAATTCAAGTTATTAAAATGTAAAATGATATCTGCAAGTCTTATCAGGTCATTATCCCAATGTTGTATATCGGAATATGAAAGTCATGACCCATTATCACAAGAAGAAATAAATGGAGAAAGAAAGAAATGAATAAATAATACACAAACAAGTCAATAAAAAGTAAATTAATGTAATGTAGACTCCATAAATGTAATAAATGAATACAAAAATAAACAAGTACATTTTTTACTTGTAAAAATAAATGTAAAAATAATTACATTTGTAAAAAAAAATATATATATATAAAAAAAATGCCCTGTGATGAATTTGTGCATCCATCCAACATCCAACTTGTTTTCAGAAAATTTTATTATATTAACTGTAATAATGAAAAGTATATAATAAAATAATGAAAAGTAAATATTCAAATAGGCGTTTTCTGCAGAAAAAGAGTGAGAAATTGAGGTCAGACATTTTCCATTTGTCTGTCTCTGTACTTTTCCATGCATTTTGCATAAGGTTTGTTTTTGGGGTAAATCTTTTATTTTTTATGTAGTAAGATAATCTTTGCATGTGACCTATAAATCTAAATTTAAATAAATGTAAAATTTGTGTCTAAATGTAAATTTAAATTTAACCCCTGGCTATAGTAAAATTGTAAATTGTAAATAAATAACCACTCTAAATAAATTTCTTTTACATGATTTTAACAATCGCATGACATTATGCCCCATTTCACATTTTTTTTAAATATAGATTCCTGCTATTGCAATAATTGCTGTTAAATTTTGTGTTTAAATAATACTAAACCTCAGTTTGTGTCATTCCCAATACTCCTTTTCTCTGTTTGTTTTATGTGATATCTTGGACACAGTGAATTTTGGAAAAAGGAGAAAAACATCAGTCTAATTGGAAAATGTTTGCAGTGCAACTTTGTTTCTTTCTTTCTTTTTTAAATTTCTGTGAGCTATTAATTAAATTGCTGTATTAAGGCATCTTAAAACTGACTGTCAAGATAAAGATCTCGGTGTGAGACTAGTCATTACAGTCTTTGTTCTGCGTTGGTGACATCTGACCTCAAAGTGAATATTTGCATACAATGTTGACTAACAAATTGCAAATTTGCATGTATATATATTTATGGAGTCTGCCTTACGTCTGTATTTACTGACTTGCTTCCCACAGAAGAGATGAAGATTGCCTGGGTTGCTCTTTTCCTGTCAGCTCATTGTGAGCTGACTTTAACTTTGATCAGGAAACACATTTTTATCAATAACACTAAGACTTGGAGCGATGCTCAAAAGTTTTGCAGAGAGAATTATGCCGACCTGTCCACCATAGACAGCCATGAGGAACTTACACGGTTCAAAAGCGATTCAAATAATCAGAAAGCTGGTAGCACAGAGAGCTGGGTTGGACTGAGCAAACTCTCTGTTCTTAACCAATGGGTGTGGAGTGATGGAAGCAAAGAAATTTCTATGCCATGGAAGGATGGTCAGCCAGACACCCCATATACTGCCTTTTGCTGTAAGAGTTCAGGTGGGGAATTGTATGACTTCGTTTGTGATATGCAGTACCCTTTTTTCTGCTACGAGTGGGTGCCTGAACTGATCCTGGTAACGGAGAAGAAGAGCTGGGAGGAGGCGTTAGAACACTGCAGGTCTCAACACTCTGGCTTGGCCTGTCTGCCAACCAGTTTACATCTCTTCCAAGCCAATAACAAGACTGCAGACATGCAAACCGACGGCATGTGGACAGGTCTGCGCTTCCTGGCAGGCTCCTGGTTCTGGGTCAATGGGGAGTCTTTGGGAAATTTGGTCCAGCTGCCGGTATGCCCCGCCAGTCCCCTTTACTGTGGATCTCGAAACCTGGCAGCTAAACGTTGGGAGAGCAGAGACTGTGCAGAGAAACTAAACTTTGTATGTTATTAAAGAACAGGGTAAGAACCAAATCATATATATGTCAGTTGTGTCTGTTTGTTTAATATAAAACAAATGTTATGTTGTTGTTAATACAATAAATGTGTAATATATATATATATATATATATTCCACAGACACACATATATTACTATAAATAAAGTTTATACATTTATTAAATAAACATTCATATAATCCAGTAGAATACTGAAGCTGTCATAATAATGTATTTTTGTGTTTTGTTTTGTTTTCCCCAGGGGAGTTGAGAAGAGTGCAAGATATAAACGAATGAAAAATTCTAAATGTCAAAGTAGACCTTTATTTGACTTTAAAACAGTGAATCTGCATGTCTATAGTTCATGTAAAAGTAGTGCTGTAGTGCTTGGGTTCCCGTTTATGCATTGTATATCTCAATATGCTATGTTTATGTTATTTAAATTATCAAAAAGGGTCGTAGATGTGAACATGTTGCTTGAAAAACGCCTGATGATGCATCACTTTGCACTTTGAAACACAAACTATACTTTTAGTGAGAGTGTATTGATGTCATAGATTTACAGCACTTTTAGAAGCTATGCTGATATGCTTTTCAGCATTTTCAGCATTTGGAAACAATGTTTTTTTATGTTATCGGTGAGTTCGACATTTGAGAGATCATTTGAAGATCATTAAACTGTTTTGGAAAATATACTCAACAATAAATGGAAACACTGACAAATAAATTGCAATTAAAGAGTTTAATTTAAATTGTTAAAATAAAATAGTTCTTGTTTTCCTCTTTAACACCTTGCATACACCTTATGCACAAGAAACTAAAGTCAAATTTATTGACAGCCAAACTCTCCCAGACACCATGACATTTTGATCACTGCTTGCAGAGTTTATATAAATACACTGATCAAAGTCATTTTAATTAAATGTTAAAAAAAAACAGTTTTCTTAAGATGTGTAACAAATGGTCCACTGAAGGCGAGTTGTGATGAACCCAAGCCCTAGTGAAAAAAAAGTATACTTTATACATAAACAATAGTAAATATATTTACTATTTATATTTTTATATATTAACTAATATTTACTATATTTCACTGGGGGGGAAATTTTCATCGAATTTACTAAAAAAAATTAAGGAAAGTGGTTGCAATCAATTTATTTTAGCTACATTTAAATAAACAAATTTAGTT